TTGGATAAAAGCGTCTGCTAAATGACTAAATGTAAATGTAACCTTCCGACAATTTGCAGAATTGTCAGGAATTTCTCCTTTTCAGAGAAATTCTTGAACCTGTATATAGAATGCAAAAGAATCCATATCGCTAGACTGTCGTAAAAACGTTGGCGGTGACAGGAAGTGGAAGCAATTTCGCGCATGCGCAATACAAATCGTGTTTCCGGTACGGATCGAGTAGTCACCACCCAAAATTGCCGTAAATTGTTTTGTCATACAGACAGGAAGTAGACGCATTTCCGCGCATGCGCATTACAAATCGTGTTTCCGGTACGGATCGAGTAGCCATTTCTGCGCATGCGCAGTACAAATCGTGTTTCCGGTACGGATCGAGTAGCCACACCTACGATGGACACTTTACTCTCCCATGAGGCCTCGTGAGAGGAGGCGAAATATTCCAATAGTATCCAGCACCAGAACCGGAAGTGAGGGGCGGAGCTTCTTCTTTTTCTTGAATTACTTTAATACTATGACTCCCTTCCCAGACTCCATCATAACCACCTCTTGGTCCACACTCACATCAACATTCCTATATCCCACACCTTGTTTTATAAATGTAGCTACCCCACCTCCATTACCTTGTTTCCTGTCTTTCCGAATAACCACATATCCTTGTAAAACAAAATTCAACTGAGGTTTGAGCCATGTTTCTTGAACACATACTATATCAGGTTTATTTGAGCTTCTTCTTCTTCTTCTCTCGAGTTTTTTGGCGGATTGGCAAACCAACGTTAAAGGTGCATGTCTGGCACCTACTGATCTGGAGTGTGAAACGTACACGGTTGAGCTATGAATTATTCAACTATTATAGATAAAAGAAAATAATAATAATAATATTAATATAACTCTAACTTCAAACTCTTTCCATTAATCTTGTCTTTTTTAAATACTTAAACAATTCTCCATATATTCTTGATTGCATTACCCCATAACCTAATAGTGTCTTTAGAGATATACTAATTCCCATCAGTTCCAGTTCTTGGAACATCTGATGCCTTTCCCTTTCATACGCTATACATATTAAAAGAACATGCTCAACCGTTTCTGGTAGTCCACATTTATCACAATTGCCTGTTTCATGTTTCCCTGTTATGTGCAAACTGTTATTTAATGCTACATGTCCTATTCTCAATCTAGATAAGATAACCTCCTTCCTTCTATTTCCATAAGTTACTCTCTCTTTAGCAACATGCTCCTGGATCTTAAATAAATGCCTAGGGGCGGAGCTTAACATAGTATGTTAACATTTAACATAGTAGTGCCACCTTAGGGGTTTTAAGGGGTAATTTGCTTTTATTACACACGATACGTCATACTTTATGCATGTATGCATTTTATAATGACATATTAAGCATTTTATAAACATTAATCTTGTGTAATTTAGTTGTAGACCTATACAGTTATTAGTTTCATTGTATTATGCAAGTTATTTCCTGTTTGTGATATTAAAAATAATGTTTGAAACTTCTATGAAATACACTTTAATCACAAGATTCAAAATAAAGGTTTACTCCAAAGTCACATGCATCATAAATTTTTCTATATGAAAACTAAAACATTTCAATAAAATAATTTCCTGTTTGTGATATTAAAAATAATGTTTGAAACTTCTGGGCATTTTATATGAAATATACTTTAATCACAAGATTCAAAATAAATGTTTACTCCAAAGTCAAGGTCACATGCATCATAAATTTTTCTATATGAAAACTAAAACATTTCAATAAAACACACACAAACAGCAGCATCATTTTAAAAGTAACAATCAAAATGTACACAATAATTAAATTGAAGTTTATAAAACGAACAATTCACTATTGGGCACATTTTGTCGTGACAATCTTGCATGAGTTCAAATTAAAATGTATCAAATTAATTCACTCTTAGGCCCTTTTTGTTATGACAATCCTACAAAAATAACTCCCCTGAACACAAGATGAAATATGAAGGACACTCTGGAAGCTTCTGATTGTTCCAGGAGATTGTTGAGGGCCTTTTCCTCGTCCTCTTCCTCCATTATAAGGAAAAGAGGCTCTTCCACTGGCCCCCTGAGCAGATGTCTGTTTAATGGAGCCATTTCACAACTTCTGTCAGATTACTGGGATCTCTTTCATTACAGAATATTAAAGGAAAATGTAACTTTAATATTTCTTATTAATGTGTGTATATAGATAGATAGATAGATTTGAGACATACCTCACAAGCGTAGCCTGTTATCCAATTGGAAGGGCCTCTTGTAGGGTTTCTGCACTGTAATATACATGTATCTTGGTTAATTTCAAATTGGTCAGAAGGGGGTGCAAATGTAATGGTGTGCTGGAGGAAATGTCCAGTACCTTTCAGAGAAAACCATCTGGAGTCCACCATCTCCGTATGATGGGAATGTCACACTGGAAGGCACAAACATAGAGAAATCTTTAAATATCAACTGCTACAACATAATAAAGGTCAATTACCTTAACTGATAACTACTTACAGATGTAAAATCAAAGGGTGCTCCCGAGACAAGATGTACTGGAAAACAACAAAAAA